TTTAGTACCTAACCAAGTCTGGACATTTAAAATAAACAAAAGAGATAGAAAAAAGCCAAAATTACTTGCAAAGATAAATTTCAAATACTTTTAAATATTACTGACATAATAATATTGCTATAAAGAATCAAATGTCATCTGCATAGTATGTTACATCAGTTCTCTGACTTTATGAAAAATCCTTTGATGACTGTTGATATTCTGTCAGCCACGTTGCTTTAAAAACAAGTGGAAAATAACAGGTGGCAACATGTGAATTTTATTCATATAAATCCTAATCCAGCCATTTTCTCACACTTGTTGCTTTCTTCAGCGGTTCTCTGCTGGTCCCAATGATGCCATGGATAATCTGGAGCAAATGCCACAACATTGGAAACAAGCGTTGGCTCAGGAAATTGGATGAAATTTTATTTGCTACACACACACACACATTCAGCAGCCATGGAGAAGGACATTCTTGAATCTGTCATGCCGGCTAACAAGTTACTTACCTTTTACCTGGACAGTCTGCTATGATTCATTCTGTCTTGAGTCACACATTTGTGCAGCCATATGATCATCCAACTTTTCCCTGCAGCTCTTCACACACACACACACACACACACACTAAAACACACTCATGCACTTCATCACCCCGGGTGATGTCATCTGTTTGTTTTTTTTCATTAAAAAAGTATGAGATCATCCAAGTGTGACATCACCTCACAAAGACCACTCTACTAATATGCGTGTGTCTGGCACATCTGGAACTGAAGTGTTTACTTATTAATACAACCTTGACTGGTATGATTTGTTGTTTTGAAAATATTGTTTGGAGAGAACAAATCATTAGACGGAATGTAAAATAAAAGCACCAGAACAACATAACCCACAGCCTAGAAACCTACATGTAGGTTTGTGAGGAACCAACGATTCACATTTAACAACAGCCAACTCTGGTTGTTATTGTAGCCCAGTCCTTCCCTGTAGGCATCACACATAATCAGATGTGGCAGGCCAAGATGCTGCTGTTAGCATTGTGATGTCTGTTCAAGGGTTTCATGGGTCCATTAGGAGCCCTCTGCTCCTTTATTATTTACACACATAGAAGGGAATTTTTTTGGCATTAGCTTGAAGCTTGAGATGGTGTGCTCTTGATGGAAAAATATGAAATTATTTCGCCCCTTTCTATGTTTTTCAAGATTCCCCCCCATAATGTTGTTTTTATCCAATGTTTAATCAGATATGACTTTTTAAATCTCCAAAACTCACATTTAATATTTGCTGCACTTTTCAGGATCTTAAAAATAAAAACAAAAAGATTTTTATCATTCTAGTCTAAGAGTAGTTGGCTAAAATGAGCTTCTCTTGTCTTTTCCTCTCAAACTCACGTTTCCTTTCTCTCCTTCCTTTTCCTCGGTTTACATTTATTCCCTTTGTCTTCTTCCCTCGCTTTTCCCCACAGATGCTGCAGAGGAGTCAAAAGCGGAGGAGAATGCCCACCCAGACGGGGCTGCGGAGACCTCTGAGGCCAAGGAAGACTAACGGCAAAGTCTTAGCCACTGGAAATCAGAATTAAGAGAAAATGATGAATAACACAAAAACAAAAATCTAAAACGGTTGCTCTTTGCCTTCCCAATGTCGAGGGCAGTCAGTTTCTATTTGTTTGTCATTTTTTGTGTGGCAATGATTTTCTCATGTTGGGGGAGTTTCCAACGTGAAGTTTTTTGGCTCAAGCTAATAGTGTGATGGTGATGATGATGATGTCTGTATTAATGAGTGTGAAAAATGATATTACCTTGATGATGATAATGATGATGTTGCAAAGGTAAAAAGCTTCACTACTGAATATAAATGAAACATGACTGGATTGTCTGCTTCCAACTGGACCTCTCACACATTTAAAATGCATTGCCAATGCACCACGGTTCATTTGCATTGTAATGCACTCTTTTTTTTTTTTTTTTTTTTTTTTTAAAATCACATTGCAAAAACAAAAATCTGTTCTGCAAATGCAAATGCATGCACAAAAACAAGCCAGTTTTTAAATGCAACTCCAGTTTTCAGCACCGCGCAAGTGTATTGAGAACACAGCAACACGTCAGATGGGTACTCGAATGTATATCTAAATGTGTGAGATTTCTAGTTGGGTAGTTTTATTCCACATCAAAAATAAGACAATAAAATTCCTGCTCTTTCTATTCAGCTTGAGTCACTCAAGCTCGGTTTACACCCCTTTTACAAACTCTGCCAATCCACATTTACAGTAAAGGACCTGTTGCCATTTAAATCCTATAATAAACTATAGTAAATTACTAGAGTATTGATGTAACTGGCTCTTATATATATTGACTTGTGTTCTGCCAAGCAAGCGTGAGAACAGTAGCATGAACCATGGAACCAGATGCATGATGGGAACTCTCCCTCCGAGAGGAACTTCTTCGCAGTCACAAAAACTTAAGAGGTGTGGCGGCTTCTTTTTAATGTCTTTGGTGTTGTTATGACAGTTTCTATGAATTGGGGAAAAAAAAAAAAAACTCTTGCACTGATGTTACTGAAAAAAAAGATAAAATATCTGAAAAATAAAAATTCAAAGATACGAAATTCTTTTCCTATGTTCCAGTGAGTACAATGTCCAGTTTCAACCTTATCAAAGAGTTCAAACTTGTGAAAAAAAATGATGAAAAGAATAAAAAATGGTTTCAATGTCTGTTTTCAAAATAAAGCAAATGTGCCAATTACCATCCTAAGCAGTTGAGTTTGTTTAAAGCCGAGTTGTTGAGTCTGATGGATTCCTCGAGGTATTTACAAATATATAAAAATAATGATTTTATGTCAAATGGTAAATGGTCTGTATTTGTATAACACTTCAAACTACATTTAGTCATTCACAATGTTGCCCTGCGCCAGCACCTAAACATCTAAACCATGAAGGCCAGAGTGCCATAAGGACCAGGGTTGGGAACCAGCAGACATAAAAGCTGGAAATGTGCATATTTTTAACGCAAACCAGCAGAATAAGGTCTTCAAGATGGTAGCAAAGTGCTTATAACCTGATCCTTAGTATTAAAAATATGTGCCACCTTGGTAGCACATGACTAAAAGCAGTTGGAGGCAGATTTACAATAATACTTTGCAAATGGGTTAAGTAAAGATGTTTCTATCCATTCCATGCATGGGGTTGAGGTCCTGATAGCTTAGCATATCATTGTGGCTCTCTCATATATGATCAAAAACTAATTAAAGAGCTATCAGAACATTATTGTTGCTTTCTTCAGTCGGTTAATCTCCGATGGAGCAGCATATTGAGGCTAAACTACAGAAACTCCATTTTTGGATAAAATATCTGTCACAAAGACAAAGAGATTGGACAATGAACATCACCGAAAAGTAAGTTAGGTGAAGCATAACAACAATCCAATGTAGACTCAATGACAACTTCATAATGCACAAATTTAAGTAACTTTGAATGAGAAACTGTGTGGGTGAGTATTCCAACAACCCTGCGACAATAAGCAGGTATAGACAATGGCTAGATGGTGCCAGTATTCATCCAATGTCATGCAGATCTTCTGGCACTCATGCACAAGTGTTGCTCAAGCTTACAGAAAATGGTCCACAAAAGATAAAATGTACAACTTCAAAGACATTGCACAAATTATAAAATCTGTGCAAATTAGATTGGTTTCAATGAGTCTAGATTTCTCCTGAAACATTCAGATGGAGTGATCAGAATTTAGTGTAAGCTTGAAATCACTCTGCTTTGCATAAACAGCAAGAGACTGATGGTGTAATGGTGCACAGGATATTTCCTTAGTGGATTTTCGGCCCTTTCGTACTAATTGAGCCTAATAGAATATGAGGTTTGCTGTATTGTCACGTTGTGCAGCAGAATCATGCAGAATGCAACAAGGATAAAATAATAATAACCCTAATAATCGGAATCCAACACTGTCATGTTAGAACATAGTAACACAGTGGTGTGATGGCAGTATATTGTCTTGGTAAGAAGGTCTGTGGGTTCAATCTCGGGTGTGTGGACAAGACTTATGAGCAAACTGTGTGCTAATACTTGAACATCCCACATGCCCATCAGCAAATGCCATTCTCTTTCCCACAAAGGGTGAGTGACCTTCATACTAATGATGCTTGCTCGCTGAGAAGAGGTTCCTTTCTTTGGAGAAAAAAAAAAAAAACCTCAATTTACTGAGTCACAATCAGGTTGGTAATATTTTCTTCCTGTAGGTGCTTACATTCCTTGTCAGTGTCTACGTTGTATGGAATTCAACAAGTTTAACTCATTCGTTTATTTTATTTTAGTCTGAAAAAGTGAGGAAAACTTACTTTTTTTTTTGCACATGCCTCTATACATGGTATGCAGAAGACAATGCTGCAATGCAGAACTACAGACATAGTTTGTACACAGACTTGGATGCAATCCATTGTCTGTGCTTGTTTTTTTCTAACCGTGGTCACAGGGGGCTGGTGCATATATCCAGGGGTCAAAGGGTGAGAGGTGGGGTACACCCTGGATAGGTCACCGGTCCACCACAGGACCAACACAGAGACAAATGACACAGACAACAATTCAAGGAAACTCAATACCTACAGGCAAAGTAAAGTTTCCTATTAACCCAACTGAATGTTGGTTTCTAGGAGGAAACTCGGGGGGGGCTGCATGAACAAGGAGGGCTGACCGACATGATGATGACAAATCATGTCACCGGCTGACATGATTTGAACCCAAAACCTTCTTGCTGTGAGGCAGATGCTTCAGTGCAGCCTTCTTCACAATTAATTCCCCCAGTATTTGCCTTTATCGCGCCCAATACTTTAAAATGTGGTCTGTTCTGACACCTAGAGGCGCATAATGTACTGCAGCCCTTCCAATAGCTGTACACAGTTTGTCTTTTTCTTTGGTGTATTTACCTGCTGTGTTACCAGCTACAATAAAGCAGAACCTTAGTTGGTTTTCTCATACCTTGTAGGTACAAAAATGTCTTTCAGAAAAGATTGTAACAATACATACATTATTTTTATTTGCATCTTACATGATGATTAACACATCAGTACCATTGAGATGCTGTGTGTTCGGAGTTCCCCCCCCTTAGAAGAAAAAGCGATACTTGCCCCAACATTTCAAGTCACATTCAAATACAGAACACTGACTTCAAACAACTTTATTTTGTTAACATTTTCTCATACAGTTTACCTTTAATACGTATCATTTTATTTTTATTTTTTTTTTTAGAAATGGACTGGAATTACCTTATGCAATATTAAAGTAAAGCAAAACTGAAGAAAAAAAAAGAAGAAAGAAACATTTCGGCATCATAGTCCACGACTGAATGTTAATTTTCCCATGACTGAGGGGAAGTATGGGGGAAGTACAAACAGTTTACATTTTCAAAAGGTAGGAGTTGTATGAATGAGATCTTTTTAAGGAACTGGTGACTTTACAACATTCTAATGTAGAAACATAATTTTGTATATACAGACAAGAGGAAGAAAAAGATGGTAGGACCTAAAACTAAAGAAAAAGAGGGTTACCACAGCAACCATCAACTAACTGGTGTACTCCTCATATATCTCATGCCTCACATTTACAACTTCAGTCAATGTTAATCGTCATGAACGCACACACCACTTAACAAGAGCCAGCTTACTACAGTGAAGCAGAGGGGCGAGACAATGCGCAGTAGTAAACTATGTAGCTGTGCCTGTAGCTTTCAGCAGATGTTGGGTTAGTGCTGTGTTCTTAGACTGGCCGTTAGGATGCGTTACACATGGAAAGACAGATCTCCTCCTCTGCTTTACAGATAAGACAGAACTTCATGGCTTTTACATGTGTGGTCTGAATACATTCAGTGCCTTGCAAAAGTAATCACACCCATTAAAATGTTTAACATTGTGTTGCATTACAACCACAGACTTTAAAAGTGGATATTTGTAGAGTTGAAAGAAAATGATACGTAGCCTGTTGAAACATGTCCTAATCAAAAGCTACAGCCTACTGCGTGCGATTTATTCTTGGTATAAATACAGCTGTTCAACAAAATAGTATCTCAATCTTCAGACACGTTTTTAGCTCCACCATCCAAAATGGAAAGAGTAAGGCACAACTGCAAACCTATTATTACACGACTGTCCGTTTACGCTGACAAGTCGGATAGAGAAAGCATTAATCAGGGAAGTAGTCAAGAGACCCAAGGTTAGTAAAGGAGCTACAAAGATGAACAGCAAAGGATGGAGGATATTTTAACAGGACAACTATGAGTTATGGACACTAAAAAAAAATGGCCTTGATAGAAAAGGGGCAGGAAGTAAGGTGTTGTTACATGAAAGTCAGAAGAACTACAGAAGAACAGAGCGTGCTCTGTTCACATGAGACCAAAAATGCAACTTTTTCACCATGAAAACTAATGGTGCAAACTCTTCTCCCACAGAGCAAAACACAGCAGAGATGTTTTTCTATAACTACGACGGTGATGCTGAATAGAGTTAATGGGTCCTCAAACCAAACTGACTGTGCTTTGGTGATTTTGCAAGAATGGGGAAAACAGTTTTAGTTGAAATAATTACTACAAGCTAGTAGAGATGTATCCCTAAAGCCTTAAAGCTGTAATTGCAGCTAAAGAGATGTTTTGGACCGCTTTTCAAAACAAAGGTAAACAGAAAATGCTTTTTTGTTTATTAAAAAAACAGGTTAAAGAGTTAAATTTTAGCCCCAACATATTAATTTGGATGGCAAAAATGCATCTTTTGTGACAATGCTGATGTATTAGCTCAACTTCACATGCCGTATGGATTATGCATAACAACAATGGCAGATTACATGTTGGTGGTAGTGCAGAACTTCATTAAAAGTTTGCAGCAACTGCAAAAAGTTCTACAAACGCCTCCACTTGTGTTTTGTTGCTTGCTATGTTTTTCCATGTTGTGTTTACCCCTAATCTTGTATGGAGGCCTTATATATTTCATACTCAACATTGAGCACCACTTAGTAAAAACAACTGCTCTGCATTTACAAATGGATAATAACATTTATGAAAATGTGTGTTTTTATAAATGACGATCCAGTTTAGAATAAGAGGACATTCCTGTGTACGGGGGACTGGAGAGGTGGGTAGGCTGAATACAAATTATATGCTACATTTATCAAAATGTTTTTGAAAACCATGTGTCATTTTCATTTTATACCGAAATTATACGCCACATAAAATTCTAATGAAACGCATCAGAGTTTATGGCTACAAAGTGTGTAGAAGTTCAAAGGGTATGAATACATTTGCAAGGCGCTGTAAGTCAGTGCTATTTAGCTGGTTTTAACCTGCATGAATGTGCTTGGGCACCCACACCGCTGAGCTTAGCCTCATGCACTTGAACAGCCTGGATGGTACAAAGAGAGTCTATAAATCAACTTAAAATCCATTAATCAGAGTTCCCTTAAAGGTTTTGCTTTTAAGCACAGATCATGCATACAAATGCTAAAATGAAGGCTTGAGGCAGTTAGAAGTTTAACACATTGGTTGTCTGTCTTAGTCCCCTCAACTTAAGTGATGAAAAAAGCCAGGAAGCAAAAAGAAAAAAAAAAAAAGAGTCTACATGTGGTCATCTGCTTCAGGTCAGCCATGCTCTCTTCTGCCCTTATTTTAAATAAAAAGTCAGAAGAGACGGAGGAGGAGGAATCAACATTTCTCTCAGGTAAACTGACCTGCTAAGATCTATTCCACAAAAACTAAATTATATTGCTGTGCCTAATGCCGTGCCTATTGTATGCTGCAAAGAAATAAAACACACCAGGTATATATATATAAACAAAAACAAATTTAAAAAAAATGTGCAAGAAGGTGAAAGCATAAAATAAGCAGAGTCCTTAACACCTCCAAGAGTCAGAAATGTGATATTGGATTTGGTGTGACCAAAACAGCACTTCAAGTAAAAAGCATACTAGATTTTAAGTTCAACATCACTACCACAGCCCGCTGCAACCTCAGAGGCAATCACCATGGAAACACTGAAGCGAGTCTTTAAATACATGGTGAAAATGACAATAATTAAATGTTTGTTTCCAGATGACCGAGAATTGGTAGTGTTGAGCTAAGCAAAGGATTGCAGCTTTTACAGTAGGGTTAAAGAAAATGGTAAAAAAAAAAAAAAAGGCAGCTAATAGTGCAGCAGGTTCACTGAGCCACACAACTGCACCTCTATGGGTGAGTAAAGAACAACCCACAGACATGTAGTTCCTGCAGAAATAAATCGTGTGACAGCTTTAGCAAAGGCCTTGGTGATTTGCTGCCGTTAAATTTAATCACTTTTTGCTGGCGATTGAGAGGAGTCATGTCCAGTGTCTTGTTAATATTCTGTTCTCGTGCTGAAGTCCAGGCATTTGAATGAGCATTGCAAGTTAACCATAATACTGCATTCTTAAAAAAAAAAAAAAAAAAAAAGTCAACTCAAGAATAAGTACAATGACAACGGCACAGAACTATCTGCTTTTAATGCATAACTTTGCCTTATTATATTCCCATCCAATGGGCTTCTATCGAAACTGTACGCCTGTCAGTTTAAGAGACCTACAAGCCTCAATAAGATCCTATCCTATAATGAAACATCGGATTTCTCTTTTTATACAGTGCACCAGCGCTAAAGGTGTTGCCTTTAAATAAATTCATCCTTTATTCCAGGATCATTTTTGTCTCACTAAAATATTTAGCATTTGAGTTCATTCAGTGGAGAAAAATACTATTTTAAGAAATAATTATTGATAATAAGATCGTCAACACTCTTAGAAATTCCTGCAAAATAAATGTGACTGAAGGTTTTTTTTTTTTTTAAGGTTTACTTTAGCATTCATATTAGGAAATTATAGAAATGTCTTAATCATAATCAATAACTTCCTGGTTATTGGTATACAAAGCTTAAAAAAAATAGTGTCTCAAAACCATTAAATGGTTCTATGTTTAACCCAAAGAGTCTGGAGTTTCACGAGACAGAGAGTGAAGTAGCACAGTGCTGCTCCTCCTCGCCCTTTTGCTGCACACTGCCAGTCAGCTGACTAAAGAAAGGGCACAATTACAAGACAGCATTTTTGGAAATACTTAATACGTTGAATTTAGTTGCGTTGTTTCCGCAGCAGCAGATGTAGTTGTTGCTTAGCTGTTTTAAACATAAGCAAATTAAACACCTTAACATGTTTTTTGGTTTTTAATATCGTGCTATAAAAAAAAAAAAATTCTTCAGAGGTAACTGGTGGGAAAACTGTAGGAAAGACGGGCGTCTTAGAGACACAGAATCTCTACAGCAGTAGTTATTTATGCCATGTCAACTGGTTTCCAGAAAAAAAGTGTCTGTCCTACCAGCATAAACTTCAAAAACTTCTTCCATAGCCAGCCCAGTCCATCCTGGTAATCTTTTTATAAGAGGTTAAGTTTTACTTATCGTACTGGAAAAATGGGGTTCTACAAAGTTGTACCAACATGTGGGCCACCGGTCTTGTAGTGAAAAGAAACAATTTTCTTAACATGGTACTTTTGTCCACTCTGAATAAACATACTCAGTGTTATTATTTGTGAGATCAAGTTGCTAGAATAAATTTATTTTAAGGCAGTTTATTCATCTTTACCAGAGGCGCCAATAAGCGTGGTTGGTATTGTACATAAGGTATTTTGGTTGAAGTGTGCTGTAAAAACGAATGAGACAAAGATGGAAAAAAAAATAGCATGAGCATCATATATCCTCATGAATATTTCTGTACCATGTCATAGTAAAACAAACACTCCGAGAAAGAGAAAAACTTAAAAGTCATTCATTGGTGTCATATGTATATATATATATATATATATATTATTTTTTTCTCCAAATGTCCACTGTCTAGCAGAATGATCCTAAAATACCTCAGCTAAAAGTACACGCTGCAACAGCGTTCTCTGAAATCCTGGTGTTACAGTGGCAGAACTTGTCTTAGAGAGATACAAAATTGAACTATTTACAGTACGCATAATTATAACCTACATGGGTATCTTTTTTTTTTTCTGTCAGTCCTTCTTTTTCTTTTTTAATAAAGGCGGGTAGTAGCAAAGCCACTGGATGAGGACGTAAAGGATGGTTTAGCTCGGAGGGATCCGCTCACTGCATCCTCCTCTCTAAGATTGACTGCCGTAGCCCAAATGTTACTGAGTGAAGAGCTGTCCTGCTAAGGCTCTGCGTCTCTGTTCCAGCTGAGTCGCCACATGTCATGGTTGAACACATTCAACACCAAAATCTCATTTCGTCAAAAAAAAAAAAAATCAGATACATTAGTTTTCTTCCCTTTGAGTTTCGCACTTTAGCTTCAAATATCTGTGTATATTTGGCAGACATTTTGCATCTAGCTATTAAATGTATGGGTTAAACACTTAAACACACAATAACATAATAGATCTTAGATGTACTCAAAAGAGCTGATTGTTGGCATCCCAGTTTTTGGGATCCTTCTGCTTTTATCCCCATGAAAAATAAAGGGTGGTGTGTGGGGGGATCCAAATCCAGACCCAAAAACAAGATGTTACAGACACAAAATAGTGCATACAAATTAAAAACAACATCACAAATCTTTGTAAGAGCACTGTTTGCTTGTTTTGTCCTTCATTCCACTGTTTTTATTTGTCGGTAAAACATCTTACTCCACCATAACTCATCGCTTCTCATAACATCTCTAAGCCGTGCTCAAGAGCACGTAAGGTTTTTGTACTGTGATGCAAACAGTCTGCGGGAGGGAGGCGGCAGCGTTGGTAATAAGGTAGCGAAAAGGATGTCATTGAGTTGAAGAGCGGGAGTAACAGGAAAGCGGGCGGCGGGGGGGGAGGGTCAGCGAGAGAGCTGGATGACGGTATTAACACTTGAAGAAAAGGCAGGCGAAGGAGGCCAACAGGAGCCACAGTGATAGAGATGCACAGGCAGAGCCGTTGATGTCTCGACCCGTCCCAGGTCCTGCAAGAGAGGCAAAGAAGGGAGTCAACAAGGTTTTAATGGAGCAAAAGGGATGTGATACTACACAAATCTGAGGCTTTAGTTAGATGGAGGAAACCTCCCACTGTTGATGTCACCAGGGTGTAGGAAAGAACACCGTGGTTACACTGTAGTGAAAATAAGATGTCTTTAGGACATAAAAAAACAAAGCTTGATCATCTACAAGAAACACTCAAATAGAAAGTGAACACATCAGCCTGTTTCATGTGAGCCAGCATTTGACAATATATATTTCACTTTAGTTATATTTCTGATGATTTGATGGAGAGAAAGGTTTAACTACAAAAGGAATCACAGCAGACATCAAGAGGTGTTTGCTGACATCTAGTGGCTTCAAAGTGTCATTGATGGATCGTTATTTGACCTGGGCTTCTAAAATGTCACGTTCAATGGTCTGAATCATATTTCTAAAAAAAAGCTATTGATGGGAGAAGCCCTGTTATCATATTTTTTCTTTTACTAATAAAAGAAATGAGACTTCATCCATTTGCTACTTAAAGCTCCTCCACCCTAAGTGAGTACTCTAATTTAATTACAAATTTAAAGTTAAACTTGATTAACTTAAACAGCTCAAGCACCACCACCACCACCAACAACAAAAAACAAACAAATAAACTGAGTTCAGAGAGCTACAGGCTACTTAGATGTCAGTCAAAAAAACAAGGGAAGACATTTTTAGATTCCAAATTTAATTGGCAGTAAGACTTTATAGCACAAAGGAGATGCACACTAGAACAACAAATCTTACGCTCTACAACTAAAAGAAAAAAAGACCTGATGAAAATGTACACAGATGTAAAGATCATACAATCATCAATGTGCAAATGCTAATTATGTAAACTATTCATCAGCTGTTGTAATGACTATCCCACGAAAGAAAAATTGCGCACTAACATAGATATGATTTGAACTGGTCATGTTGATAATAAAGACATCCCAGTTCTGCACAACAAACTGCATTTATTCCAGTTTTGTTTCTCTTGATTTGAACAGACCTTTTTCTAGTTTCCTCCAGCATTTTACATCTCAGCATGTCAAGCTTTCAATGACTTTACAAAAACAAAATCACATAAAACAAACTACATTACTTAACTCACACCCTGAAGCAAGCTCAAGCTGCGGTCAAACATCATTAGGCAGCACTGCTGCAGATGCTCTGGTCTGGAAGCTGGCGGACCTGATTTAACTCTGCCTCTGCATCTCATGTTTTACAGCTCCGGAAAGAGCAACATTATTTCATAAAGGGTTTAGGTAATGCTTTTTTTTTGTGCTGGTATTTGTGACTGAATGTCAGTGTGCCATCTGCAGTGTTTTTCAGAAGTGAACCTTTCCCCTTGTTATTATCTTACAACAAATGCTACATTTTCAAAATTACAAAAAAAAAACAGAAAAAAAAAACACAATCTGAGATGGGTGGCATACATCGGCATTTAGCTCTCTTTGGCCTGACACCAAGGCCAACGCCCTTAGGAGTTACTTAACTAGTAAAATCTAATGTTTTTCTGTCCATCAAAAGATAGAAAGACTATGTCACAACTTAAAAACATACAATGCCATAGATGTTCCTCTAAACAGGTTGGCCAATAAGAGCATTGTGCAGAAGAGCAACTGAGAGATAAATTGGTAACTTTATGAAGAGATTCACAGCTCAAGTGGGAACATTTTTTTTTTTTTTGACTGGACACCAACACTCCTGTCAACGCCTCCTGCACTCCACAAATCTGCCGTTTATGGAGCAGTGCCAAGAATTAAGCCATTGTGGACACAAACCTCATTACCGGTTTTGCCACAAGTCATGTAGGGATCATCACAGTGAGCATATGGAAAAATGTGATCCAGTCACATCAGAACAATATGGAGCTTTTGGCCTGTCACTTCATTTCATTTATGTTGCCATATCCTTTGTGAATTTCCTAGTGTATTATTTTCTTCCTTGTACATTTGAATTCATTTTTCTCCTTTTCCCGTTTGGTTTGAAGATATTTTCTGAGTCTTAGTTCAGCTCCCATTTTCTTAATTACTCCCCCCACCCCCTGCCCTCTCTCTGCCACAGCTGTTCCATATCACCTGATAAGTTCATCTCATTCCTTTGTCATTTTCTACCTCTGCCTCTCTATTTGAGCTCCTGGCTTTTTCTTGTTTCTGTGCTGTACTTTTTGTTCTTCTGCACATCACTCCATGCTCCATCTCCTGTTAACCTTGTTTCAAGACTTACAAGATTTCTTTTTCTATTAAACCTTCCACAGACCTTTTTCAAATGGCTCTCTGCGTACTAGCCCTGCTTCAATCATACAAAAGATGACAGTATTGTAATATTGTGTGTAAAAGACAACACTTTATGATACAATCCTGGCAGTGAAGGCAATGTTTAATCATTAATCATTTATTTTTATTCCAGGCTGTTGTGATCTCCAAAAGCTGATTGGAAAGTTTTCGCTAACAAAATTATGGGAAATAAAATATTTCCAGAAGGAGCTTGTGTGATCAGCCATCTACATGCTGTTAACAAAGAGAGAGGGTAAAACTAATTGTTATTCACGGCAGCAAATACAGTTTCAGTTTTGCTCGAGTTTTCTTTTACTCGGTTAAATGCACAGGAACAGGTTCAGATCAAACCAAACAAATGAGCAGACATACCTCAAACCAGCATGACATGATGATTTGGCTCTTTTTTTTTTGTAGCAAGAGGACCTGTTCATCTTCAACTTACAAAACTGACTTTTCCATCAGACATGGTTGCACTATTTTAGTTGCAACTGAATACAGGAATAAAGAAAAAAAAATCCCTTTGAAAAAGTCTGGACCTCAGTTTCTAACCTCTCTATTGATCCCATCAGCAGTTCCTTCCTGTTGCTACACCTGGTAAGGACCAGAACTTATAATGATGTCCTTACCTCTGGTGATGAAGACTCATGGAAACTTGAGTTTGTGAACTGTTGAAATTGAAGACTTTAAATCTTTCTCAACTTTCAAATGTCACCTTCGCTTTTTTGCCGCGTGTCTATATTTCCACACAAGACTGCCTTCAAAGCAGAGATATGTCTACCCTATAACTAATATGCAGAGAGGGGCTTTACGTCTCTTCCTGGCTTCCAGATGTCCACCGGTAAAGCTTGTAGCGAAGCTGAAAAAATCTGCAGTGAGAAAACTCTGTGCTGATATATTTAACGATTCAGAGGGAAATGAGATGAATTGAATTAGCACTTTAAAGTCAACATGTTTCGTAGGTTTTAAAGTTAGAGAGGCAGTGTACCTCTAAAGAACCAATCACGTTTGGATAAAAAAAAAAAAACCTGCTTTATACAATATAAGGCCACAGACTCGGTACTCACTATAGAGGAAAACGCTGGCACTCTGAGCACCCAGACGGTTTGAGGCCACACAGGTGTAGTTCCCGTAATCTTCTTCAGTGACATTGGCAATCATGAGGACAGTGTTACCGCCAAGAATCTGGATATTGATGCCTTGAGTATTAGACAGCCTGAAAAAGGGAGACAAACAGAAAGAGGAAGAACAATTCCAGGTGGAGAGTTATCTGCCAAATCAAAAAGCATGAGAGTTGGTTGAAAATGTAGATAAACATGACACACGAATTTGATGCGAGCAAGCAGTAGCAAAGTTCAATGTTGTGCATTGGAGCTTAGTGTAGCTCCTGCAGGTATGGGAGGGGCCAGGAAGGGTTAGTCATTTTCAACTTTTTTCATTAACAGATTGATACAATGCAGCAAACTTGACTTTTGTGAGGGACTGCAGCACTCTTCTCAGATTTATTTTTTCTTTCCACCGAATAAAAATGACAAAACTGCTGTTTTAAAGCTTGAGTTATGTGCAGTCAGATGTCCTTGAGAATGAAACATCCTTTCTATTCCAATTATTTGCTGACAAATTCCCACAACACAGTTTGGCAGCCCTGTCTGACAGGGACAGTATTCATACTTCTTTAGCATTTTCACACCTTGTGCCATAACAACCATAAACTTCAATGTGTTTTCTAGGGATTTTAGTTTGAAGACATGCCTTCCACATGTAGAGCTTTGCTTGATGACTGAACAAGTTTTATTTTGGTTTTGTTTTGCCTGACATAATTCACTTCCTGGAATTATGGATCACTGTAGTTCTTTCAGAGTTACAGTGCCTAAAAAACAATCACCACTTTGAATGTTTTACTCTTTTAATTGATTTTGCAAATAAAATAAACTTTTAGCATTTTTTTAACCAAAAATTAAAACAAATAAATAATAATAATAATAATAATAATAATAATAATAATAATAATAATAATAATAATAATAATAATAATAATAATAATAATGTTAAATTGAAAACTGATTTCTACAAAATATTCACAATGATCATTTAACAGTTGGGTAGTGACTAAATCAAAATGGAGTTTTGTTGGACATGAGATGAGACACGCTCCACTCCACCACAAACACACATCTCCAGTGTGAAGCATGGTGGTGGCAGCTCATTCTGAGCATCCAGCTAAAGCTATACAGAAATGAAAGTGGATGTTCTGGAGTGGCCTAGTCAAAGACCAGACCACAATTCAATTGAGAATTTGTGGCTGGACTTCCTTTGCAATGAAGAATGGAGGAAAACTGCAGCATTAAGATGCATAGCATGACTGAGATGTATCCACACAGACTCCATGCTATGATCTACTAAATACTGACTTGAAGGGGATACATATTTATGTAATCACTTTTTAAAAATGTTATATTAAATATTTGTATTGAGTTGCCCTTATATTGTAGAAATCAGTATTCATTTTAACATTAAAGGAGTTTTCTAGTAAATTATTTGGTTAAAACAGCCAAATTTTGTTCATCAGGATTAATTTTTAAAAGTAATAAAAGGGTAAAATATCAAAGGGAGCGAATGGAGTGGGGTGCAGTTATACCAGACTCTATTCTTGGATAACGAGTTGAACAAAACTCTGTGAAATGTTCCACACTCTGAATATTGTTTTGTAAACCAACCCTGGTTAAACTTCTCCAGAACTTTCCTTTTGACCTGTTGGATGTGATCCTTGTTCTTTGCGATGCTTTATGTTCACCAACATTTTCTAACAAACCTCTGATGCCTTCGCAGAACAGCTGGATTTATACCGACAAGTTCACTATGTAGGTGACTCCTGAAGGCAGTTATTGCATCGGGTTTTATTTACTTGCGTTCCAATTCATATAAGCAAACCAAACTTCAGAATTTCATTTATATTTTTTTTTACATATGGTTTTAATTCGACAAAATGTGAAAACTAAAACATTATACGAAGGACTGTCAGGTATAAGTCTACTTTGAGTCCAGTTTGCTTCAGTAAAAGTGTACAACCCACTGAAAACCATTCCCTTAATTATCATACTCAAATAAAAGTATTTTTATGAAAAGATGCACATGATACATTCCTGCTTGTCCTCGAAGCATTTCACATCCTGAACGAGGTGAAGTTCATTTCAGGCGCCTCAACTTAATCCTGCTTAAGCCTGTGTAATTGGTAATCGGAATATGAGCAGGAGAGCGAGACGTTTGTGCTGACGCATGCTCGGCTGATAGAAAGTATTAACATAAAAAGGGAAACTCACATCATAGCGCACAGCATAATTCGGCACACAGGGGAGTGGGGGAACTTGATAAAGTGCTGAAGCCCTTACCATGGGGACACCTTGGGAACGGAGGCGGCAGCGGCGGTGGCGAGCGCATTTGTGTTTGAGAGTCAAAGAGAGAGCATGAAGAGAGGCCAAGTGCTCCAGCAGTGCCCCGCGCTTCATCTAAAAGCAAACCTCTCGGCTGCAAAGATAAGGCCAGAAGCAGCGGCAGCAGATATATTCTCCGGTGCTTTTTCATGAGAAGTGACTGCACTATTAAAAAGGCCTCTCTGCCCACCGAACCCACTGAGAAAACCAGATAATACGCAGAGCTGCAGGGAGCCGAGAGCAAACAGCTGCTTTCACAAAAGATTACAATTGATGATAGTGATGCAGCCGCGAGGGGGTAAACTGACCTAAAGAGGATCAAAGAACTTTCTTTTGTTGTCGGAGTGCAAGTCTTTTGTTCTCATTAGTGATGCGAAGGTTATTTATTTAAGAGCAGAAAGCCGAGCGCTTTGTCTTCAGTTCAGCTTTCGACAAGCTCAACGTTGCTTCCCTTGGTGCCCTTTTTTTAATCTGCAATCTGCACTTTTACTGAGCAAGGATTTAAAATGTATCCTTATATATATTCCTGCATGTTTGCCAGCTTCTTAATCTAGAACAAGACTGGAACTTTTCATCGAAAAACGTCGCCAGAAACGGTGCAATTTTTGTTTTCTTTATTTGTCAGAGCAGCGCATTTAAGAAATTGCTATCTTTCTCCACAGGAAGAGGGCAGCAGAGCGCTACAGGACGTCTTTCAGCATTTGACGCCTGCCTCACATAGCTGCTGCGCAACATTAAACCTCAGACCAAAATGATTTGACCTCTCAATTTAGCGGACAGCGCGCTGCGTGAGCGCCGGACTGCGGTCCTGGGCCGGCGCAGATGAAACACTGGAGCAAATCATCAGATGGACAGATTTGATTGTGCGATGTGTAGGAGGAGCACTGAAAGTAGGTTATCACTGCCAGGGAATGTGACAGGCCTGTTATGATTCAAGGCTGATGATAAATGTAATCAAGTGGAGAGTCCTGCTGAGAGTCACAACCCAGGGATGATTGAAAATGGTCCATGGGTAGTGACAGTCGTCTATCGGCTGACAAAAAAACAAAACAAAAACAAATGTATCTGTCTGTCACATTAGCTGACAGCTCTGTTTGAAAATTCTTCAAGTCAGAAGTTTGGTGTCTTACAAAAAAAAAGAAAAAAAACTTCAACCTTTTCACATTAAAATTTTTCTCACGAATGAGAATTTAAAACATATTGTATGTGTGGAGCCATTATCCTGAGTGCCCTAAATAAAATGCAAGTGCCTTTAGTCCATTTAATGTCAGTGTTAAAGTATAAATCTTTTATAAAACATGGAACAAGTGAGGCACGCTTACAAACCAACCAAAACAAAGTAATCCAAGCGAGAATTAATCTGAGAAGCACCAATGCTAACAATGGAGGAGCTGAAATGATCCACAGCTTGTGTGTGTTTTTTTTTTTTTTTTTTTTTTTTTTTTTTTTTTTTTTTTTTTTCCCCCACAATTAACAGTTGCTGTTGCACAACAACTATTAGTTGTGAGTGCCACGGATTTGGCTTTTAGAAAACCATTGTTCAAAAAAAAAAAGATCAGATGAAGGTACATTCTGCAGTTTTTACCGGACACACCAAAAGATGTGGAAACAAGGTGCTCTGGTCAGTGGAGACCATAAGTATGCCTAAACACAAAATGATTTGTACACAATTCCCATCATGAAACATAACAGTGGCAGCATCATCCTGAAGGGAAACTTTTTTCTAGCAAGACAAGTAAAGCTCTCTTATAGTATAGTATAGTATAGTATAGTATAGTATAGTATAGTATAGTATAGTATAGTATAATATAGAATAATCGAGTTAGAAGACACTTTATATCAAAATATGGGTTAGGAGAAAATACAGACATTTGATTATTGGGTGACAAAAGTTTGCATTTTTTTTTTTTTTTGGTTAAGGCATTTCATATTTGGCCAATTGTTTCTGCTGTTGACAGAATAAACCTAGTTTGTAGATGTGGATAGACTGTGAAGACGGGAACCAAAAGTGTTTTTCCTGTAATGGCAGCAAAATGAAATGCATGCTGGACTTTTCAGATTTTTATCTGTGAAAATTTTGCAAACCTTGCATTCTTTTCCTTCCCCTTGTGGTGATTGAGAGAAAATCCCAATAAAACACAATTTTTTTTTTTTACTTTAATTTAATAAAATGTGAAAGATATTAAGTGGTGTAAGTACATAGGCACGTTTCTGTGTTAATGGAGAGATTTTACCAAGAATTAATTGAAAATTCCCTCACATTTATGACAGTTTGCTCTGGACCTTATCACATTATTAAATCATCATTATGGCAACAAGTATCTATGAGTTATCACCCACAGCCTGCTGATTTAAGACGATGCTCAGCCCTCTGAGGTAAACCAATTATTTATGTGCTGTGGGCTCTCAGATTGTTGCGCTGTGGGAGATGCTGTGAAGTCATGATTCATTTCTGTTTTAGAGCACGAGCTGGGCTTTATCGCCTGAGGGGGTCCACGAATCCGTGCGAGACAGACTGAAGGTGGAGATGCACACAGACACAGTTGAGTTAAGCCTCTATGCTCAGTGCTCTGCACACCAGCATTCGCTCACATGCTTGTGCCAAGCCGCTTGTTCCAAATCTAGAGAGTTTGCTTTGCCAGCTTTAAAAACTTCCAATTATGTCATAACATTGCAAAAAAAAAAAAAAAAGGGGACATCTTTTAGTTTTGCATATATTATATGTCGAGTCCACAATCAAAATTTCTTATTCTCCACATACGTTGTTGTTGCTGAATCGGAAACG